AAGAGAGAGAGAAAGAGAGAGAGCCTTCCTTGGTTGTTGTCCTTTTAAAGACTGATTCTTGGAGTAATAAACTACAAGTCCCAGAATCCCTTTTCCTTCCCAAAAGTGGTTTATCCCGCCCTCTTTCTCCAGAGAGTTCTGTCTTTACACAAGTCTTTCCCTTTGATCTCTTCCCTCCAGCCATACTGTAACATTGTGAAAGACCAGTTGATTAGGTTTCTTGGTAGATTGGACTGCTTGGGAAAACACACACTTGCATGGTTACACCTAGATGTCTATTACTCTGATCTCCTGATAACATGCAAGGAATACTGGAGGGATGTAAGCTTTTGTTTTAGCTGGGTGTTGTAAAATGCAACTGAAAGCTTTGATCCTTATCTCACTATTATCAAGGAAATGACCCCAACTTGTGAAACCAGTCACATACACAGAAAGTTATATACAATATTGCAGTTTGGAATATCAATTTCTTACAGTCCCCACCTAGAGGGCGAATGACTCAACAAGAAAATGAGCCCTCTCAAAGAAATACAGTATTTGTATTATGTGTGTTTTAAATGATTATGTGTTTTACTGAGACACAAATGACTTGACAACCACATATATTTATAATTTAGGGTACTGCAATGCATAATTTAGCCAAATCATTGAGGCACTTACAGTTATCATTTTTCACCATTAATTTGAACTCCTTCAGCCATATTCATAACCTTTCATTACCCTCATAGGCTCAGCATCACTGCAGCCATTAGATTTCACTCCCATCACGCTCAGTTACCTGTGCCACCAGCACTGCTTCCACCACACTGTTCCTTTAACCCTGGCCTTGCTTACTTTGGGCTATTAGGCCTCTGACCTCTGCCCACCATGACACCTGGTGTATTTTCACATCAACAGCAGTTAATTTGCTGTTCACTTACATAGTGTATTAAAGAGACCACACAAGGGAGAAACACAGTTTATTGTTTGGAGTGGGGATCTGAGTGAAGGTGTTTGTGCACGTTCATTGGGAGTTTATTAAAAGTTGTATAGCTGGAGTGGGTTTGTGTTTGAGCCCTTGAGGATGTTTAATAAGGTTTCGATAGGCCCTTGGCTTCTGGAAATTAAAAGATTCTTAGCACAGAAAGTGTGCAGTGTTACATTATGCAAATCACTAGTGGTTTGATTATCATCCTTGTCTCAGTACTACCGTCTGGATTCACAAGTGGTCATCTAAAACATTGTAAACACAAATGTGAGCAAAATGCAACCAGTATCAATGTGTACTAAGAAATACATCCTCATAACAGTATAAAATAATTTACTATAACCTTACTAAAACCATAAATATTTAACCCCTTGTGGAAAACCAAATAGAGCAAATAGAAAATGCTAAATCATATATTGTCACTCACCCCACCTTGACTCAAAAACAATATAAAATATACAAACTGGTCTAATTTGTCTATATGCTATACCCCACCTTGAGAGTATAAATTAAAACAAAAACAAACAAAGAATAACCATTATCATTCTATTGTTCACCCAACCTTGACTCAAGGAAATGTAAAATATATGCAATTATCTGTTTTCCCTATATTCCCTTTAGAGTGTGAAATACAATAAAAAGCATAAGAAAACAACAAAATCAAAGAAGATGGAGAGAGAAAAAAGTAGATTGAATGCTACCATTACTTTCAGTCATTGAAATGTATACAAAGTTTGGCAGCATGCAATCTAAAGAAAACTGACAATGGTCTGTTGCCTTTCAAAGATTAAAATCAAAAATCGGCTTGAGGCTATTTGTGTTGGTAACCAAATGAAAAAAAGACAAAAACAAAAATATTTACTGTTGTAAACCAATCTCTCCAGTGTGATCAACGTATAAGCCTCACGTTAGCAACAATTCATCTAATCTAGAAATATATAAAATTAGTAATCCAGTATCAAAATACAAAAATAAAACATAGCTGGAAGTGCAGGTGTGCTAAACTAATAAAAACAAAAATAATTTGGAATTTGGACCACCTGACTGTAATGAATGAATTTAGAGGCTTATCCTTAATATGAAAAAAAATATCATAAAACTACATATTAAGGTCCTCTATAAACTGGAACTGTATTTTTCCTGAAATAAATAAACATGTTAAATGGTTGGTCTTCTCACAGATATTTGTCTTCCTTCTCAATTGGCATCATCTCCGTAGTTTTCTAAAAAAACAAACTTCAAGAGAAAGTTAATAACACACAACTAGAATAGGTCATTCAAGAAAAGCTGTATCTGTTATCAGATTCTTTGTGTTAACCATATCCTCTAATGTACTTAATTGTGCCTTGAGACAATCCAGTTTTTCAAGGAATTCATTTCGTTCACATGTTAGAGAAAGATTTTCTGCCTTTAGTTGTCTATTCTGTGCTTTAAGCACATGGTAGGGAATCCAAGGTCCTGTGAGGGGGATACCATTATTATCTTTTCTCTGGGATCTCCACCTAGGGTGATTATTTTTATTTCCCAGAGTCCATCTATCACACATGGGCCTTTCATGATGAATATGCACATCTGATTTACAAAATTTTTCAATATGTCCCATCCTACCACACTTAAAACATGTAATGGATTTTATATGTGGGGACTTTCTCTGATTGATATATCTGTGAGGTTGGGGACTTTGTATCAATGACACTTGTCTTTTATTTACTTTTTCTTGATTTAGTAAAATTGCTTCAGCCCTTTTTAAGCAATTCAGTACATTTACAAAGGTGTCCTGTGGGGACACAGTTAAACCAATTAACTCTCGAATATCTGGCAGTGTCCTATTAAGTAATGCTTTCTTATATGCATATTCATTGTGATCAGCATGTGCTCCAGGTGGAACAGTCAGTTTGAATAAAACAAATAACCTATTTACAAACCCTTGAACAGACTCCCCTCTCTTCTGAGCACAATTACCAAAAGCAAAATGATGATTTACTTCCTCTAGACCAAGTGCGTTTAATAACTCTTTGATAAGTTGTTGCTTGGTTCTAGGTTCTATAAATATCTCATGTGGCAGACTTGCTCTTAGTGAATGGTCTGTACTAGCAATTATAACATCAAAAATATCCAATTCATTTAAGTTCCTGTGGATTTTTTCAAATTGATCAATTTTTAACATAACATCTACTGGATCATCATCCAAGCGTATACATCCCAGTTCTTTGCTCAGTGCAATAACCTCTGTACGTTTTAAGGAATGGGTCACAGTAGTTTTATGTAGTATATTTCCCTGTGCATCCACCATGCGCTCTGTAGAGATTGGTGCCATTTTAGCAGGAATACTGCGCTCACAAATACCATAAACATCTGCAAAAACACCACACTCTATGTTATGTACAACATTTGTATTGGGTTCTGCAGCATTGCATGCATTTCTATTTTGTAATTGGGATTTCAATAAATTCATTTGATACATGCAATCTGAATGATCAGCCTCTTTCTGGCTGCTGGATGCAAGGATCCTAATAGCACCCTCTGCATCCTTCAGCCTTTCTACAAGCTGCTCATTACAACTGTGCAATTCCTCATTTTCAAGACGCATTTGCTGACTACCTACACACAAAGCAGCAGCATTTTGCACAGACAGTTTAAAACCTTCCACTTCATTCTTTAAACTCAAAATGTCTGCCTCTAATTTCTCTTTTTGCCTATTTAAAGATTTATACTTCTCCGCAATCCAACGGGCAGCATAAATCAAAGCAATTTTACCACTAGATTTTGACAATTTCTTTTCAATAATTGCCCTGGCCACATAATCCTGAGCATTAAGCCACGGATCTAATGCACCATCCATACATTTAATTATTGCTTCTGGATTAGACACCTTAGCAATCTTTTTCAATAAACTCTCCATCATTGACAACGCACAATTCACTGAAATATCTATACACAATATCTGAACAGTATCCAAAAGTAAATATACAATCTATACAATTATGAATATGCTCATAAATCACACTAAATCCCTCCTACCTCGGCTCGCCAATTTGTAAGAAATTATGACCCTCTTACAAGGATATTCTTTTAGGGAATGTGTGACAAATAAGACATAAACACAAGTGTATAATAAAATGTATTGTAAATATTCATTTAAGGATACTGTTAGATTTTAAAAGGATATACACAATATACATTATACATTATATCCGGTACATAATCAAAAGCTACATAATAAAAAGGCAATACTTAAACATTTAAATGCAGGTCTTCCCCTTGCGCCTTCATCTTGGGTAATCTGGGACAGCCTCTCTTAGTTCACCATGGCCCTGCTTGCTGCGTTGTCCTCTCCAAAGAGAGAGAGAAAGAGAGAGAGCCTTCCTTGGTTGTTGTCCTTTTAAAGACTGATTCTTGGAGTAATAAACTACAAGTCCCAGAATCCCTTTTCCTTCCCAAAAGTGGTTTATCCCGCCCTCTTTCTCCAGAGAGTTCTGTCTTTACACAAGTCTTTCCCTTTGATCTCTTCCCTCCGGCCATACTGTAACATTGTGAAAGACCAGTTGATTAGGTTTCTTGGTAGATTGGACTGCTTGGGAAAACACACACTTGCATGGTTACACCTAGATGTCTATTACTCTGATCTCCTGATAACATGCAAGGAATACTGGAGGGATGTAAGCTTTTGTTTTAGCTGGGTGTTGTAAAATGCAACTGAAAGCTTTGATCCTTATCCCACTGTTATCAAGGAAATGACCCCAACTTGTGAAACCAGTCACATACACAGAAAGTTATATACAATATTGCAGTTTGGAATATCAATTTCTTACATGTAGAATTGTTTGGATACCCAATAGTCTACAGAAATGAAGAAAATGAAAAACCTTCGTTTAATCCCTGTGGTGACAGTTTTTTTCAATTTGTATATCCAATAGGATTCTCTTTGTTTGAGCCTACGGTCCCAGTCCCCTTTACGTTGTGTTTGGGTTATGAGTTCTATGCCCATGAAGCGTATCCTACTGGATGAATTGGCATGATATGTCTTTAAATGCCTTGAGATTGGAGTTTCCAATTTACTTCTAACCGAATTGACATGTTCTCTAATGCGGAACTTAAAAGGACGGAATGTCTTTCCGACATACTTAATACCGCAGGAACATGTCAAAAGGTAAATGACACCCTCGGTACGGCAATTGAAAAAAGAACGTACATAGTGGGAGTCAGAATTCGAGCTGTCAGAAAACATCTTCGTTTCTTTACCTATATACTGACAGGCACTGCAATGACCACATCTATAGGTGCCCTTTGGTAAGTAGGATTTGGGACGTTCGTTTGTTTGACCAAAATGGCTAGGTACCAAAATATCCTTAAAATTCTTCCCTCTACATGCAATGACGGAAGGGGATGGGGAGATCACTGATTTGATGTGAGTATCGGATGTCAGGATCGGCCAATATCTGCCAAGAATTAGCAGCATTACATGCCAACCTGCATCATATGTCCCAATGCAACGGATCTGATGGCTCGACGGTGGAGTTTTGTCCTCAAGAAGATTCGCTCTATCAGAACATATGCCTTTTTAAGGACTCTATTCTGGTACCCTTTATCTTTAAATTATTTTCTTAAATTGGCAGCCTCTATCTTGAAATCTTCAAGGGTTGAGCAATTTCTGCGTAAATGCAGATATTTCCCAATTGGGATGCCTGCTTTAGAGGAATAAGGATGGTAACTGTCCCAGTTTAGGAGGCTGTTTGTGGCTGTTTCTTTACGATACAGCGTTGTAAAGATTCTGCCATCTTCTTGTAAAGACAAAGTAATATCTAAAAAGTTGAGATGTTTGCCCCCGACCTCACTGGTGAAACGTAAGTTCAAATCGTTCATATTCAGTAGCCGTACAAATTCAATGAAGTCATCTATTGTGCCCAGCCACACTATAAATACATCGTCGATATAACGTTTCCAACAATGTATTTGTGTTAGGAATTGAATCAGACGTATCTGTATATCTGTATTTGTGTTATTGTTTGTATCTGTGCGTCTATACATCTGTATGTGTGTCAGTATTTGTGTGTGTGTTTCACTGTGTCTGTGTCACTGTATGTGTGTCAGTGTTTGCATCTGTGTCTATGTATCTGCATGTCTGGCAGTGTGTATCTGTGTGTCTATTCATCTGTATGAGTTTGTATGTGTATCTGTGTGTCTGTATTTGTTTCTGTATCTGCATGTATTTGAACATGTGTATCAGTGTTTGTATCTGTATCTGCATGTGTGTCAGTATGTGCATTAGTGTGCCTGTGCAACTGCATGTGTGTCTGTGCACCTGAATCTGTGTCCGTGGTTGCATCTTTGTGTCTGTATATCTACATGTGTCATTATGTTAGCCTGTGTCAGTGTGTGTATGTGTGTATCTGAATGTGTGTCAGTGTTTGTTACAGTGTATTGTGTGAGTGTGTCATTGTTTGGATCTGCGTGTCTGTATATCTGTATATGTGTCAGTGTGTGTATCCGTGTCTGTGCAACTGTATGTGTGTCTGTGCATCTGCACGTGTTTCAGTGTTTGTAGCTGTGTGTGCACCTACATGTATGTCTGTGTTTGTGTCTGCATGTGTATCAGTGTTTGTATGTGTGTGTCTACGTATCTGCATGTGTGTCAGTGTGTGTATCTGTATCTCTGTGAGTGTATCATTGTTCGTATCTGTGTTTCTGTTCAACTGTATGTGTGTCAGTGTTTGCACCAGTGTGTCTGTGTATCTGCATGTGTTTGTATCTGTGTATTTGCATGTGTATCATTGTTTATATCTGTTTGTCTGTGTATTGCATGTGTGGCAGTGTTAGTATCTGTGTGTCTGTACATCTGTATGTGTGGCAGTTAATGCATTTGTATGTGAGTCTGTGTGTGTATCTGCATGTGTGTTAATGTTTGTATCTGTATCTGTGTTAATGTTTGTATGTGTATCTGTATATGTGGAAGTGTTTGTATGTATATGTATGTCAGGATATGTATCAGTGTGTCTGTGCAACTGTATGTGTGTCAGTGTTTGAATCTGTTTATCTTTATGTGTGCCAGTGTTTGTAGGTGTATCTACATGTATGTCAGTGTGTGCATCAGTGTTTGTATCTGTGTATCTGCATGTTTGTCAGTATGTGTATCAGTGTGGTTTTGTGTCTGTGTACATGCAAGTGTGTCAGTGTGTGTATCTGTGTATCTGCATGGGTGCCAGTGAGTGTATCTGTTTCTCTGTATGTGTGTGAGTGTGTCATTGTTTGGATCTGTGTGTCTTTACATCTTTATGTGAGTGAGTGTATGTATATGTGTCTCTGCAACTGAATGTGTATCAGTGTTTGTTTGTATCTATGTATCTGTGCATCAGTATAATTGTTTTTGTGTCAGTGTTTGTATTTGTGTGTGATTTTGTGTTTCTGTATCTGTATCTGATTGTGTTTCTGTACATATGCCAGTTTGTGTATCTGTGTATCTGCATGTGTGACTGTGAGTGTGTCTATGTACCTGCATTTGTGTCAGTGTGCCTATCTGCACAGTGAAAAGCAGCAGGTGCCTGGAAAAGAAGAGAGAGCCAGGAGTAGAGGAAGAGTAGGGAGACCCAGGGGCAAAGGAGGAGTAGAGGGAGCCTGGGGCAGAGGAGAAACAGAGGGAGTCTGGGGCAGAGAAAAGCATATACATTTGAAATCACAGCCACTATATTAAAAGGACACTATAGTCACCAGAACAACTACAGCTTATTGAATTTGTTCTGGTGAGTAGAATCACTAACTTCAGGCTTTTTGCTGTAAACACTGTGCAGTGTTTACATTACAGCCTAGTGATAACTTCACTGGCCACTCCTCAGATGGCTGTTAGAGATCCTTCCTGGGTCATGGCTACCTAAAATGCATCCAAACATTCAGTATCTCCTGCCTAAAATGCATCCAAACATTCAGTATCTACCCTCTGCATGCAGACACTGAACTTTCCTCATAGAGATTCATTGATTCAATTCATCTCTATGAGGAGATGCTGATTGGCAAGGGCTGTGTTTGAATCATGCTGGCTCTGCCCCTGATCTGCCTCTTTGTCAATCTCAGCCATTCCCATGGGGAAGCATTGTGATTGGATCAGGCCACCACTTCTGATGATGTTAGCAGGCAGTGGGCAGGTCTAAAGGAAACAGTGACAATGCATGCAGCTCCAGGCTTGAATATAAGTAAGATTTTACAATATTTAAGGATGCATGAGGGGACCAGGGTGGCTAGATGGTGGTTTTAACCCTATAGGGTCAGGAATACATGTTTGTGTTCCTGACCCTATAGTGCTCCTTTAATAACAAACATTTTGCTAATATGAGGGGTACAATTTCTGGAAATGGGCTGTGAAGGGGTACTCAAGTAAAAAAAGGTTGGGAACCACTGGAATAGAGGGAAAAAGAGGAGGTGCAGTAAAAAAAGAATATAATATATAAATATAGATTTATTTTGCTGCTACTCCTTCCCCCGTATATTGTCACTACTCACTTGATCTGTGAATAAAATCAACATTTAGTGAGGGTCACCAAGCCATCGATCATCTATTTTTGCCGCCAGAGATGTAACTCCAAATCATGAATCAAACAAAATGTTTATGTCCATTGTCCATGTCTTTTGTTTTTTTGGTTCAACCATACAGCATTTCAAATCACTGCTTGCACAAAATCCGGATGAAACACAATTTGTTTGACACCAAACGCACAATTCTACAGGATATTTAAAAATCACCAATCTGCCTACATTTTTATATTTTCTGAATGTTAACAAAAAGTAACCATTTTATTAAAGACAGGAGGAGAGTGTTGTGATATAACAGGGATTGGCAACCTTTGGCACTCCAGATGTTGTGTACTACATTCCCCATAATGCTCTTACACCCATAATGCTGGCAAAACATCATAGGAGGTATAGTCCAAAACATCTGAAGTGCCGAAGGTTGCCCATGCCTGTGCTATAACCTCCATTACTTAGTCATGCTTGGCATATCAGATTTTAACAATATGTATTTAGTGTCAATATGTATTCAGTGAACATTTGTCTTTAAAACTATACATGGGGGGGCGGAGCATGGCTGCAGAGCGAAGAGGTCGCATGGCACTGCAGCTTCAGTGATTCAAACTAAAAATACCCTAATCTAACCTGAAAAAACCCGACCAAAATGGCCATAAACCTAAGCCACAACAGAGGAACCGAGATGGGATGCAAAAATAAGAAACAGAAGCCTGAACAGCCTAGACGTGGCCTCAATATCGGAGCCATGTGGAGGCAGGCACACGGAGCGACCAGGCCCAAGATGGCCGACTACCCAGAAACTCTGACCTATCAGACGACTTCTCCCAGAGGTAGGACACACATAACCCCCCCGGCCAACTGGTAATAATTACCAAGCCTCTGGACCCCAATAATGCACCTGTCACAAGAGCGGTGCTCAAGGCACTGCTGACAGGCCTGCAGACCATGCTCCAGACGGAAATGACGATAAGCCGGCGGATGAATTACTACACTTTGTGCGACGACTCCTGGCAGCGCTGCTACCACCACGGCAAGCTAAAGCCATAAGCCTACATGGCGTCCACAGAGTCCCCAAACCGGCCAGAGACACCATAATCCGCTTTCAGCGGAGTACGGACAGAGCGGCAACTAGAAACCATGCCCAATACTCTTTTGAATCCATGTCACTCACCTTTTTCATGGACTTGTCCGGCAGTACCTTGGCATGGAGGAGATCGTTTAAGCCAATCACTATGCTCCTTCAACAACAAGGCATAACATACAGATGGGGCCCCAACCGCTCCCTGCTGGTAACAAAGGGCGAGACCACCCACAAGGTTTACGACCTGCAGGGAACACAAGACTTATTACCCAAGCTGGGCCTGCCTCAGGATGGCATGCACCCCACGGCACACCCCGAGACCACCAAGCCACGACACAGGTGGGATCCTGAAAAGGCAAAAACTTTTGTCCCGCGACAACTTGGACACGGCTTCCCTTCCGATAACCCACCGTGAAAGCTCCCAGGCCGGAAATGTTTGACCAAACCACAAATAGTGTTAACTTGCCCTGACCCCACGGTTGTTTATGTTATGGTAGATTTGTTTGCTTATTTAGCCTACTTTGCCTGTTTTGCCTAATGTTACACTTCTTAGCCTCTCCTTATTACCACACATACGGATGATGCTAGATATCCACACGTAACACACTCACACCTCTGCCACCCACCCGATGAATTACCTCTCCTCCCTCCCCCGTCTGCCCTAAGTGGATGCCAGACGATACATACCCCCAAACGGTGGACAGGCGGG